TTGCAAAGCATACGAAGGAGCACAATCAGGATTTGGGGTATCAACAGCAGCTTGGTAGGATAAGATTTTAGTGTTATCAACGTTGTATGGAATAAGAACAGTTGTCACAATAGCATTTGGGTTTCCGAAAGAGTCTTCAGACCGGACCAACAATTGGTAAGCAGCTTGAATTCTTTGTTGAAGTGTAACAAATCCGTAGGGGTTGGTCACTTTTCTCCAGTTGATAATTTCACCGGTCTTAAGCTTTTCGTACCCATCCTTTGGTTTGTAGAAGGGATCATCAGAAGGAACAACAACTCTTCTAGCAACAAGAGGATGGAGAGGAGCAGCAAGAGCAACCTGGATAAAAGCAAAGATGAAGGCGATAGACAAGAACCTCATTGCTTAATGCTTGAAGTAGTCTGAATTGGCTAAGAAAGAGAGGAATTAGCTGACAATTTATACACTTCAGATATTTCCGCTTATTAGAATATATTCCTCGGCCAACTCTTCTTTCCAGACTTTGGTTTAATAATCGTGAAGGATAATAAAGTGATACTCGATTCTGGGCAACTGCATTTGCACCCATAGTTCCTGCATGTTTGATAAAATGACCCAAAATATCGGTTAATTTAGCCATAAAACGGCCAAAAGCGCAGTAGGGTAAACCATTTCTCGATAACAATAGGCGACAAACATAAAGCGTAGGTGATAAAAATGAGTACCTTTAGTATAGAGCCAATCCTAGCGTTAGATGCATTTCTGAGGCAATGGCATACGTATTATTATTTGAGAAAAGGGTGAAGTATTTTTTATGTCAAATAATATGGTACTTGATTGTAATCCCAAATATTTATTTGGAGTTCAACGTGCCCAGAAAACCCGAGTAACGGTTATTGTCCAGTGTCACACATTTCAAGTTGAAATCAAGCTGAAATATCCATAGAGTACGATTTTTAGCCAGAATCTTGTTTGTTCAACAAACATACTTGAATCAGACCCACTCGAGAAGTCCTGACCACTCTGTCACTTGTTATGCTTCTTTCTAGTACGCGTTAGCTTTATCGTTGAACTGCCAAAATAATATGAGGGTAAATTTCAGATTCACTGCTGCATGTTGTCAACGCAATCTGCTGGTGTAGCTTCCGTGCACCAATGGAAATGAGAAACCGCGAGATGCACCTATATTTTTCGTTATTGTTTATTTGGTCGTCTGCAATAGACAGAAGTGAATGTAATAGGAGTTAAACGTATACTAACAAAGCTTAATCTTGAGATAGTTTCAATTTACAGTGTTTAAACTTCGTTAAACAGACGGGGCAGGCTCAATTCACTTCCAGTGCGTACACGTAAAAATGTGCCAACTTCAAGACTGAACTGCAAAACTTAATTAAAGGGAAATTGTCGACTCAATATCCTTCTCATCGTCAAACCAGGGACTGAACTTTCAGGAATGTAGGGTGCTACATGCAGACTGGATAATTCCTCAAAAAATGTGATCGCGACGCTCATCATTTCCTCGCGGTGCAGTACCAGGGGTTCCTTGGACTCTGTCTGCTTACTACGTGCCATTGGTCAGCCTATGCGGGGAGGAATCATTAGGAGGCAGGGAACCTGGATTAATAGATCGAAGTCCATTAGTTTCGGTCGCGCTGAACGCGTCTAAATCCGCTCCCAACAATTCATAACCATAAAGCCGAAATTCAACAAGGCAAGTCTAGTCTAAAAACTACACGGCAAATCTGTAAATTCAATAACCCTTGGACTCATGCATAACCGCAATAATAGGCAAGTGCCCAAGCTGAAGCTCCGACGCGTATTGTTTCGGCTTTCCCAACAAGTGATTACCTGTACCCCAGTTCCTTAGCCGGGTGCCAAGCCTGTGATCTTATCGGTAGAGACCACCTTGCGCCTTTGTACAAGAAGCGCTGAACGCTTTTTCGGCTTCAATCGAGTCACTTCCAGTGCAGATGCAGGATGTCTTATGTTCAGAAATGGGCATACAACGTTTCTGTGAAAGTTTCAAGTACCCCTCCTCCCACCTTTATACAAATCCACGTTTAAGCAGCGGGGTTCTTGGCAAAGTGACTTGACGCTTACGTGCTCGGGATAAATTGTGGAGTTGCAGACTCCATATTCCCCGGACGGCGCTCATGCACTGGCGATACGTTCCCGTCCCGTCCCGCCTCGATCTCCACTGATTAGTGAATTTACAGGTGACAATATCGACCCTAGTAATGGGATGGGCGAATTACATTTCAGTGTCAACTTTCAATCTAACTCGTATCCTTGATATGAAACTGATACTCTTTCTCTATGCCAACGTCTAAATCAATTAAACATACAGTGTTTTTAGAAAACATTCGAACCCTCGGCCCGGAACTTTTCGTAATACGGGAAACTCAATTTTCGTAATAGGGGCCGGATCTTTTCATACTAAGTTTAATTTTAAAACTGTACCNCCCTACCCGTGAAATTTACGACAGCAACTGCTTAGATTTGTAGTGCCTAATCGTTGTTGGAGCAAACAATGTTTTCCTCATTTTCCTTCTTAATTAAGGATTTCTCAAGAGACCGGAATTCTGGCAAAAAAAAATGTTCTATGTGATTCGCTAAAATATAAATATA